CTTTGCAAAGTACGAAATTTAATCCATCACTTACCATCTATCTTGATTGAAATGATTTTTAAATCGAGTCTTATAAAAGGTGCGAGTAGTCGTGAGTCGAGATCGACCAGCAACTGTCACATTGATACACGAGATCGCTGCGGCATTCATAGCTCGGACCACGACCCACGATCGATACAGAGGCTAGCAACGTGTCTACCTCCTATACCACCATCCTGCGCTGGGCTTGGCTCGAAGCTTTTCTGAATCTTTTTCTCGGTCTACTTCAACTTGTAGTACGTCTACGTACACACTGATCTGGAGATGCGTAGAGAGCTACAGCCCGTACGTACACTCTATTCAACGAACATTTATCTTCTGAGTGACACTGTCCATGTAGCTACTGTCTGCGTACGTAATTCGTGTGTACGTATACGTGCACATGACACCGATCCGTACCTAGCGAATACAGTGTTGCTCTCTACGGACACACCTGAGTTATGAGTCTGCGAATAGAGTGTTGATCTGCTGAATTATATTAACATCTATCTTACGATTGCCGCTCACTGGAATATATATAATCAGGGACCAATAATCTATCTATTTTTTTCGGGAGATTTATTCTGGGACCAACTTATCGTTGATATACATCAACATGCAACTACTAGCCAGCTAGTACTTGATCACTGATTAGCATTGCCATTACGGCGCAGCACAACTTTTCAGTTTTGTGTACGTCTCACAACTTGCATCCATCAGCATGTACAGCGTAGTGTACTATAACCGCGTTAACTATGATATGTATATTCTACCCGCCCAGCCTAATCCAGCCGTAACGTAGGATGCAAGCTACACAGTGGAGAAATATACACACAGCTACAAGTTGTATATGTATCTACTAGCTTGCTGTGATACGTACGTTGCACCCTTGTCTGCCACTGTTGGGTTTCTATTAGCGCTAAGACTAGTCACAATAGGAGTAACTTAACTAATAACATCACAGATTTCAATACAAGATTGTTTATGTGGCAGCTAGTTACTGTAACATCACACATTTCAATGCATAATGAGTCTATAGCCTAATAAATGAATTCTTTCATGATATCACTTATATGTTACTACCCCACTATGAAGGTAGTAACATAGACTAGTAACATCGGCAAGTTACTACTCTATGTTACTCCCCACTGTGAGTAGTCTAAATAACCATCTGACCTAAGCAATTACTTTATTTTGTTGCCGCCTTTTCCCACAAGTGTAATTGATACCGCCAATTGGTTAGGTGCATGGACAAAAAATTCATGTCCGATTCAAATCCAACGGCCGTTGTGTTTCTTCATTCCACCGGATTCTTCTTCCATTGGATGATCCACCACCGGCTAGGCCGTCAGCTGCCACCATCTGTTGCCGTGACTCCCCGACACATGCCTTGCCACCACTCCAGACAGTCGTTCTAAACCCCCCACCCCCACCCCCGCCTTTGCACCCGCACAGTCAACCTTTGAGTCCCTTACAGCTAGGGCGCCATTGTCGCAATGTCCCCAACTTCGGGTCATTCCTGTCGGGGCCTCATGGTGTTCCCATGCCTGTCTGCGCTCACGGCAGCGCTTCCGTCTTTAGTCCCAGAACTGTGTGAAAAATGGAACGACTGAAATTGTGACTTCAGTTGCCTGACAAAGTGCAAAATTGATTTTAATTTATTCATCCATTATTATTCTTTGTCTGGTGGTTTACTTATTTGGGATAGGTCGGTTGGGTGAAGAATGGAGAAGTGGAGAGCTAGGGACGGATTGGAAGTGCTTAGTCGGTTGAAGAATAGAGAAGTGAAGAGTTGGGGACCGGAACCGCTTGGTGGGTGGAGGATTACCTATTTTGCCTATTTGGGCTAGGTAAGACTCGGGTCTTTTGGCGGATGAACTGGAAAAAAAAAACCGTTTTAGCGCCATATGGCATGCTATTCAATGATGGTACACTTACGGACGGCCAGCCCACGGAAAATACCTACGCGCGGAGGGGGAGCCAGCTGATTGGCGCTCAAATTTTCACTTTGCCTGAACTGCATCCCACCTCGCTCCTCTCATTCTGCCACATCAGTGCGTAGCCAGTTTTCCGTAAAAATTGTCCGCAAGTGTATCATTTTCGCATGCTATTTCACGAATAGCACCATATCGAGCTACATTGCCAAATTAGCGTGTGTTGTCCCCTATGCTATAGCATGCTATTAGTGCAGAAATAGCGCACTATTTTTTTTTAATGGGCGGTTCCCATCCACTACTACTATCGGATAAGTTATGAATGGATGGCGGCTGTGAGATTAACTAATCTGATAGGCTGGAACTTTTAAAGTCACTGGATAGGAGTACGTAATTTGCGACATATATTGTATGTATCCATCTAATGTATGCATAAGATACGAAGCATGCAGCGACATTTCCTCATAAATAGATCGAAATGGGCGCTGGGCATGCGCATGTCATCATGTGTGCAATCTTGCCAAGTGAAAATCCTATCAGCCAGATTGAGTAGAAGGCGCACCATTCACCAAGCCAGACAGCGACCACTCCATCTCCGTCCTGTGTGTAAGTACTCCGGTCCTTTTTACTTCGCGTATTAGATTTCTGTCAAGTCAAACTCAACCAAGTTTGACCAAATTTATATTAAGAAATATAAACATTCACAATACCAACTATATATACTATGAAACTACATTTCATAATGATTTTAAAAATATTGATTTGGTATTGTGAATGTTGATACTCTTTTCTATAAGTTTGGTCAAAGTAAAGATACTTTGACTTCGGTCAAATTTTATATGCAAACTAAAAAGGACCGGAAGGAGTACCGTGCATATTACTTGATCTAAAATACATACACTAGCTAGTGCTGCATACGAGTAGACCAGGAATATGGAGGTGCGATGATTGGCGGAACACTTCCCAAGGATGATTCGCTTGCCCATGTCGGGCCCACCAGAAAGTGTCTACAATTGCTACAAGGAATCAATCGATATGTGTATATCCTCAATTCCTGATTATATCTCTATCCAGACCGGCATGAACTTGCCCTAGGCCTAGGCTAACGTGTGTTGCAAGCAGGGAACATAGCAAGTCAGTCGTGCACACCAATATAATGGCGGCGGTAAAGCTAACTAGTTGATCAGTAGCTGAGAGGGACTGATGCAGAGCGACACACAACCGAAATATGCTACTCCATGTAGCATTTGTGAGTGGGGGTGGTGGTTGCTAATTAGTCCTCCTTCTTCTTCTTAGCCGACCAAATCGACTACCACCACCACCCATCTGCCTTCTCTAGCTAGCCAGTAGCCATCCCCATGCGCAATCCAGGGCTTTTCACTTGTACACAAGAGATCGATTAGCCCGGTCACCGTCAGTGCAAAAATCGAGTCCCAATCAAGGTCCCAATCGTATGCTTTCCGGGTTATATAAATAGGTCCCCAATCAAGCTTCCCAAGTCACCAACCTCATTCTTACCACTACTACTGCAATCACAAATCACAATTGATCTAGCGCCTCATCTCATTCTCTCCCTAACTACTGCAATCACAAAAACAACTTCCAAGCTACCTCGTCTCTCAGCTGCTTAATTACCTCTTCTTTTTAATCTTCTCCTCGGTTTGGTGAGTCCCCACCCTGTGATTGATATGGTTCTATTTGTATACATATGCATTGTTTGTCAATAAATTTGTTTGGTCGATGGCATCCTGCGAGTTCTGACATGCTACCTAGTCATGAGCTGTGGCTGATCGATGAGCCCGCTACTTTTAGTGCAGTGTGGTACCACCAGCTAGCTAGTATGTACTCCCTCTGTAAACTAATATAAGATCGTTTAAATCATAACTTTAGTGATCTGAACTATCTTATAGTATTAGTTTGCAGAAGGAGTACTTCCATGTATGGCTAGATAGCTCTAGTATATGTTACTATACGTCTATACCGGAAGAGAAGGGGACAATATGCACTTGAATGCAAAGGTGACCACCATAATCCTGCCGGTACTATCATAGTACGCTACGTACGTAGTATTCAGTTTCAATTGAGGCTAAAATTCGTCTCCGCAGCCATATTCTTGCTCGATCGATCAATTGATGTACGTTCGAAACCATATTCCAAGCTGGTACACGTTGAGGTGAGCCTGAAATCCGTCCGTGCAACAGGTGCAAGACTGTACATACACATATACCTGCAGTTCAGTCCTCTAGTCCACCACAAAATTGACCAGAGACCTGATCTTCTCTCTCTACCTCTAGTGTTGGTATGTGTCCAGTACCAGTAGCCGGGGCAGAAATAGAGATGTGGTCGTACTGGTACCACACTGCAGA